ATCCCAAAGCCTGAGGTGGGGAGCTGCCTGGATCTGGAGGAGGGGTATGCAGATCACCTCCCAGGGTGGGGGTTGGAAGGGTGGGGGGGCTGGGAGAGGGTGGGTGAGCGGGCACCTTCCTCAACCTCGCTCTATACTGCCAAGTCTTCTCCTGACACTGAGAGAGTCTCTGGGCCCCATCTCCCGGGGAGGAGGGCAGCTGCAGGCTGCTGTGATTGGCTGGCCAGGAAGCCAGGGTACTGGGGCCCCCGACTGCTGCTTGTCCAGGAACAGGATTCCTCTTCCTGCCAAGTAGCTCGCAGAGATGGGAGTAGGAGGCCGGAGTTGGGAATCTGGGAGGCCCCACAGCGCTTTGTGATGAATCCGGTAGTTTTTGGCAAGTTTGAAGGTGGAGCTGCTTTCCAGGGCCAGTGGGAAAGATGTTTTTGGAGGGGTTTGGGCTGGAAGGTGAAAGGGGACTTCCTTTTTCGTGTGAGAAGTTTGGGATGCCATGTGTGCCTTTGTACGAGGGAAGTTTTTCAGAACAGGCAAAAAATACTCTTCCCCCACTCTCCGCCTGGGCTGGGGGTGGAGCGTGCAGATGGCTTCCTAGAAGGTCAGAGTTGGAAGGGACCTCAGTGAACTCAGCAGTCCAAATGCTTGTGAGAAGGCGGAGGCCCAGAGGCGGAGGGCAGGGTCCTCCCTTGGCAGCCTGAAGCGGATGATGAGAATCTGGGTCTCCTCGCTAGCCCAGGTGGCCCTGAAGGCCAGAGATATGATGGAAGCTGCCAGCCACGGCAGCTAAACCCTCCCTCAGATGAGGACTGAGATTCTCAGGGGCTGTCCAGAGACAGGGGAGGGCGGCCACCTTCCCTCACACAGGACCCCATGCCTCCCCACAGGGCCAGTCCCGCTCCAAATGGCCTTTCAGGTGTTTCCTTGGAGGCTAGGTACTTTCTATTCACTTCTGAGTTAGGAGTTTGGCCACTGGGACAAGCACCAGGAGTAGAATGCTAGCTTCTCTGCCCAACTTCTGGCTCCAGGCCAGGCTGTTTTCTGTGGGTCCCTGTGAGAGGTTTTGGGAGGATGACACCTAGGCCAGGGCCGGGAAGAGGTTGGGTGGGGTTGCTATTTCTCTCTCAGTAAGGAGTCAAACCCTTGAGTTCCTTCCTGAGATAAAACAATGAAGAAATCCTCATATGTGCAACTCAGAAATGGGGCCAGGGCTGCAAACCCCAGACAAGTGGATTGGGGCTCCCATCTGCCCTCTGGGATCTAGCAGGGGTGTGCAGGCTCGGGCAGGTAGAGATCGGGTTTGGTTCCTCGGAGACCATCCAGACCCATCTTGTTTGGGATGACCTCCACAGCTCTTTCGAGACTCAAATGGCACTAAGCACTGTGGGTTCCAGTTGAAGGGGGTGGGGTGGGTGTTATATCTCAGGACCCAACCCTGATGTCCCACCAAGGGGATGTGGGCTGGGTTGGGCAACGTCCCCTTTGAGGAACCTCAGCGTTAGTTCAGTGACTGTATCAGAGGTGGTGTGGCCTCATGCTCACTCGGGTTTCTACAAGAGGCATAGGCTTGCTGGGATGCAGAGTTGGGGAGAGGCTAGTGGTGATTTCCCCTTTTGCAAATCCTTGGGATTATGGAGAGTCTGCTTTACCCCGGAGGAACCTCAAGTTCATAGAGATGGTGGTGGTTTCTGTTGCAGTCTTTTCATTGAAGCCCAGCTGGAAAAGTGCTCAGAGCCCTGGGTCAAGTCAGAAAAAGGCCTGTATTACTGGCCCCCAAAAGATAACCGAAAAAGATCGAAAGGCAGTTCACGTACAGCATGTAGCCTGGCACGTAGTAAAAGACGAACAAGTGCTCAAAGCAAATGTCCCAGCTCTTCCCTGCCCCGGACTCTCCATGCCACAGTGCCAGTCCCTAAGCCCAGAAGCAAAACTGGGGTCTTGACCTTCGAGTTGGATGGGCATCCTTCTCCGTTACTCTCTTCCCTTGCCTTCTTTAGTCACTGACCCCACCTTCTTCTCCAACCTCCAGGACTGGGAGGTGCTGGTCCTGGGGAAGCTCAAGTGGGACCTGGCTGCTGTGATTGCCCACGACTTCCTGGCCCTGATCCTGTACCGGCTCTCTCTGCCCAGTGACCGACAGGCCTTGGTCAGAAAGCATGCTCAGACCTTTTTGGCCCTCTGTGCTACAGGTAAGGAACTCCAGGCATATTTTTGCCAAATCAGGAAAATCAAGACGTGGGAGGGTCAGAGGAGATGCTTGTTACATGCCTTTCAAAATTTGTGAAAATTATGTCCCCGCTGAGCCCCCCGTTTCAATACAGAAAAGATGCGGAACACAGTCTAAGCTGTATGGGATCTTGGAGGCCCCAGTACAAATGTAGGTGGGGACTCAGGGCTTAGAGAGAAGTGATTGCCCAAGGTTTCACGGTGATTAAATTAGGAGCAGAACCCAGGTCTCGACCCTGGTTTTGTTTCCACACCAGGGAGAGAGACTCTTTCACTCCCTGGTGCCTGGCCTGGGTTCCTTAGGGACCACCCTGGACCTGGCCTGCACAAGTCTGCTATTCACCGACCCTCCAGGAAATAATCTCTCCTACCTCTCTCTCGCCCCTGGCTGACACAACTCACTACTGGCATTTTCCAGGATGCCCCTGCTCTATGCCTGCTGCCTGGCACTTTCTGAGGGATAGGAAATCTACCCTGGTTGTTATTCTTGATGTTCTCCTTGCCTCATGGTTCCCTCTCCCTCTTCCCAAGATTACACCTTTGCCATGTACCCACCATCCATGATCGCCACAGGCAGCATTGGGGCTGCAGTGCAAGGCCTGGGTGCCTGGCCCGCATCCGCAGATGAGCTCACGGAGCTGCTGGCAGGGATCACAGGCACTGAAGTGGTGAGTGCTGGGTAGCTAGCAGGGCAGCAGCCTGTCAATCCATGAAGCGCTGCTATTCCCTGAACCTCCAGTAGAGGGAGGTGTCCATCTCCAACTTGGTGCCTTTCACGGGCCCTGCCCTTGCGGCTTCTGTGGCGTTTTAGCTACTGCCTTGTCTGGGGAAAAGCAAGTGGTCTTGGGTGGGTTGCAGGGCACCATCCCTTGGTACCCTTTTCTGCCGAATGGTGTGCAGGAGTGGGGGTGGGAGGCTTGGTGTCGGATGCAGGGCTGCGCTCACACCCTGTTGCCACATCCTCTTGCCAGTTTCTGAGAATTGAAGGCTGATTCCTGGGGCTGGGCTGTGGCCTAACCTCCCCAGACTTCCCTGTGTGCTGGGAGGTGTCCGTCCCCCACACCTGCTGCCAGATGCTATGGGAGGAGGGAAGTGGACCTTTAGCTCCAATGGGACCTTCCTCCACCTCACCCAGCATTCCCTCCTCACTGTCCCCCCTTGTTCCCAGGACTGCTTGCGGGCCTGTCAGGAGCAGATTGAAGCTGCACTCAGGGAGAGCCTCAGGGAAGCTGCCCAGACATCCCCCAGCCCAGCACCCAAAGCCCCCAGAGGCTCCAGCAGCCAGGGGCCCAGCCAGACCAGCACTCCCACAGACGTCACAGCCATCCACCTGTAGCCACGGAGAGGCCCCCTCCAATGGCCACTGACAGCAGCGGAGGGTCCCTGCCACCCTCCCTCCCTGCAGGAACAAACCACGTCGCATCTGCCACAACTGAAGTCTGGGGGGGCTCCTTCCTATTTGCCCTTCGCTAAAGAGAAGGGGGCAGGTCCTGCCTATCCCTGCCGTGTGCACTAAGAGGCCCGGCCAGCCACCTTTGGGTGGCTAGTCAGGCTCCTCCTTCTCCCTGCCTCTGACCAGCCCAGCTCCTTCCCTGGTTCTGGCTGGGGGTGGGTCGGCTGGTCAGAGACAGAATTGAAGAAGGTAAAATAGATGTAACCAGCATTCCTTATTGAGGCCCCCTATCTCTGGGGCTCTCACGTTCTCAACTGCCAAAATGCCTCGGTGCCTTATAAAGGTGCTGCACCTTCTAGAGTTACTGCATTTGGATTGGGGTCTTTCTGAAGAAATTTCTGATATTCTGAGGGGACACAGTCTGGACAGCTCTTCTCAACATACTTTGGAGAGCCCTGCATAATCCGCGCGCACAGCTGCTCCTAGAGGGAGGGGCCCAGGCCTCTGTCAGAGATTCCAGAATCAACCAGTTCCTCCTCGCTTTGCTTTCTGCCCAGTTTCTCCTGTGATTGAGGGGGTGGGGTCAGTGCTGAAGGAAGAGGTGGTTTTAATTTATTAATTGTGTTGAATACAACTGTAAGAGGGTGTGGTGGGGCCCACCAGCCCAAGTGGTGGTGACCCTGGCGGTTGCTGCATCCCTCCTCTGCTACTGGCTAGAGGATCTTTGTGACCGAGGAGCTGCTACAGCCTGGGAGGGGCCAGGCCCTCCTCTCCCTTTGGCCCTCTGCCCCGTCCTGCATCAGGGGATGAAGGAGGGATGACCTGGAGGTGACCAAGCCCGCTGTCTGGAGATGCAAGCCCTGTTAACACAGGTCTTTCCTAAGGCCACAAGGTCTAGTTGCTGGCCCAGGACCATCATGCTACCTTAATAAAGATTGTGGAATAAAGTTGGCCTTGGCTTCTTGGATTGGATGGAGGTGTGGGTAAAAGCATGAGGTAAAGAGGGCAGAAATCAGTGGTCCATAGGGCCAGAGTAAATATTTTAGGCCTGTGAGCTATCATCTCTGTCCCACATAGAGTCGGTGCTACTTTGTAATGGAATGTGTGCGTTCCTAAAAATCACTGTACTTTGCAAAACTGCCTAATAAAATCCATAGGACTTACGTATGGGCACAACATGCAAAAACTTAATGAGCGATATGTTTTCTTTTTAAAAAAATACTGGTTTCAGAGGGAGAGATACAAACACCAATGATGGGAGAATCATCCATGGCTGCCTCCTACATGCCCTCTACTGGGGATCAAGCCCACAACCCTGATCCAACCCCTGTGGTTCATGGATTTATGCACAATCACACAGCAGGGTTGAGTGACATGTTTTTTATTTCTTCAAAATATATTTTATTGATTCTTTACAGAGAGGAAGGGAGAAGGCTAGAGAGCCAGAAACATCGATGAGATAAACACTGATCAGCTGCCTCCTGCACACCCCCCACCGGGGATGTGCCAGCAACCAAGGTACATGCCCTTGACTGGAATCGAACCTGGGACCCTTCAGTCCGCAGGCCAACGCTACATCCACTGAGCCAAACCAGTGAGTGACATGTTTTTTAAAAAAGAGGGGCCTGGCTGCCTTGGTTCAGTGGTTGAGCGTGACCTATGAACCAGGAGGTCATGGTTCAATTCCTGGTCAGGGCACATGCCTGGGTTGCAGGTTTGATCTCCAGTCTGGGGCATGCAGGAGGCAGCCAATCAATGATTCTCTCATCATTGATGTTTCTCTCCCTTCCTCTCTGAAATCAATAAAAATATATTTAAAAAAAGAGGATAGTATAGTTTTTATATACTGTATGGTTAAGAAACACAAATAAAACAGTCCTTTATCTTCAAAAACACCTGAAGTTTGCTTGTGGAAGCAGAGGCTGGGAGGATGTGGAAGGCAGGCTGTGGATGTGACGTCCAACCCACATGTCAGAGGTGCTTGCACTTGTGTATCTGGCTTGGTTCAGCTTGGTGCAGTTTTCTGATTTTATGTGTTGTTTCTCAACGACAAAACTGCATCTAAACAAATGTGCTATTTGTTTTATGATAAAATTGTTCCCAAATATATTAATTGGGTTGGAACAAAGTCACATTTTCAAAGGCAATCAAGGGTTCCAGGATTGTACTCTGCTATTGCAGCATGAAAGTAGCCATGGGAAACATGTAAATAGATGGGAGTGGCCATGTTCCAATAAAACTATGGACACTGGAATTTGAATTTCACATCATTTTCACCTACCATAAAATACTCTTTAAAAAATTTTTCCCATCCATTGAAAAATGTAAACACCATTCTTAGCTCATGGGCATAAGAAAATGGGCATATGACCCTAGTTTGCCAACCTCCAGTCTAATGCTCTCATTAGCCAGAAAGGGAACTTGTCTGGTGGTGATCCAGCTCTAACTATCCTGGGCACAACCAATATTCTCTGATCTGTCTGGCCTTTGCATTTCCACTTCCGTCTAGGGCAAGCATGTCAAACTCGTGGCTCGTAGGCCACAGGCCTACCTTATTTGGCCCATGTCAGCCTTTGAGTTTGACATGCTTGCTCTAGGGCAGTGGTCGGCAAACTCATTACTCAACAGAGCCAAATATCAATAGTACGATTGAAATTTCTTTTGAGAGCCTAATTTTTTAAACTTAAACTATATAGGTAGGTACACTGTTACTAACTTAATTAGGGTACTCCTAAGGCTTAGGAAGAGCCACACTCAAGGGGCCAAAGAGCCGCATGTGGCTCGCAAGCCGCAGTTTGCCGACCACGGGTCTAGAGGCTCTCTCCTCTAGCTCTTCCACCCACAGCTGAGACAGACCTTCTTTTGAACAACCTCCTGGTTCCTGGCATTCTCCCAAAGCAGCCTGTATTGGGGAAAAGCAGAGACCAGCCCCCTAGGGGCTAACTCTGGGTACAGCCTGGAGGAACGAGCTTGGAGAGTTAGGATAGGGGTGGGTGTCCTCAGTATACTGGGTAAGAATCCACCCCTAGACAGGAAGAGGGAAGAGTAATCCCTACCTTTAGATAAAGAGGGAAAACAGAGAGATCTGCATTGATCACAATAAAACACAGACGCTCAATAAATACCCGCCTTTTCATCCACATCCCAGGGACTTGACATGGCCTGGGAGAAAGAACTCCAAGCCCCAGCAGGGCAGTGGGAATCCTGGGGTGTGGATCTCAAACAGGTTCCAGAACTGAGCAGGAACAACGGCCTGACCCTCGGTCCGCCCTGCAGGGTACCGGGGGGCCCCAGGTGCCCAGGAGCTCTCACTGCCCAGTTGTAAAGGCTCAGTGTCACCTTAACTGGGATCCTGGTGTCCTCCCACACCCCTCAGACCAGGATGAGTGACTGTTTCCTCAGTCCATGGTGATGGGAACATCTTCCACATCTCGGGGCACCGCACTCTGAAGCTCACGTCTGATCTCAGGGGACAGCTGGGGATGGGGCTGCAGCCGGAGCAGTTCCAGGAGGGCCTCTTTCTGCTCCATTGCCAGGTCTGCCTTATAGCGCTGGGCCAAAGTCAGGAGGCACTGGTGCCAGAGCACGGGCAGTTCACGCTTCTCCGTCCGGAACCCCAGGAAGTGGAAGACCAGAGCGTCCAGCACCCTGTAGGGCAGTGCGTACTTCTTATCCAGCAGCAGCCGCAGGAAGATGCTGTTGGCACCGCTGTAGTCCATCTCAGCAATTTTCAGCATGGCCGCGCTGGTGGGAAGATGGGTGGAGTTAGTGGTGGGGAAATGTTGGGGGAGAGGGCCTACCTCTCCTTCTGTGCTTTCCCCCTGTTCTCCTCTACTGGCCCTTACACTGTGGTACGCCTAAAAGGGACACCTCAGGCCTTCTCACCTATGCAGTGCAGTCTTTTTCCAAGTAATTTTATTTATTTATTTTAACTTTTTAAAAAACTTTTATTGATTTCAGAGAGGGAGAGGGATAGATAGAAACATCAATGATGAGAGTGAGTTACTGATCACCTGCCTCCTGCACGCCCCCTGCTGGGGATCAATCCCACAATCTAGGAAGGGGTGGGCAAACTTTTTGACCTGAGGGCCACAATGGGTTCTTAAACTGGACCGGAGGGCCGGAACAAAAGCATGGATGGAGTGTTTGTGTGAACTAATATAAATTCAAAGTAAACATCATTACATAAAAGGGTAAGATCTTTTTTTTTTTTAGTTTTATTCATTTCAAACAGGCCGGATCCAGCCCGCCGGCCGTAGTTTGCCCACGGCTGACCTACGATGTGCCCTTGGCAGGAATTAAACCTGGGATGCTTCAGTGGGCAGGCCAACGCTCTATCCACTGGGCCAAAGCGGCTAGAGCACCTGTGCAGTCTTGATCCTCCACCCCCTGCACTCCAGTTATCATCTCTAATTGGGATGCTGATTCACCCCAAATCCCTACTCCTGGCTCAGAGCGCATGTCTCACTCAGTATCCAACTAGAATATATTCAAATATTTCAACATCTCCACCCCTGACTTCCTTCCTTCCCATGTTCCCTATTCTTTCCTTCAACTATTTACTGAGCACCTACCAAGTGCCAGGCACTGGGACCCTGTTCTTACGGAATTACAATCTAGTGAAGTAATGATATACCTAGTGGCTTAAGCCACAAAATCAGGGCTACGGTATTCTCAGCTCCTTCTCCACTCTGTACCCCCACCAACTTTCCAAGTCCTGGTGATTCCACTGATCAGTCACCCCTTTTCCCCCGGAGTGGGAACACTACCTGGAGTGCAGCACAGGAATGGAGCATTTGGTGATGATGCTACCCACGATGATGGCTTCCCGGAGGGTACAGGTGCCCGACTCACACAGTGGGATGAGGATCCCTGGGGAGGGTCAGAGGGGCAGTCACTTTGAGTTGAGGGTGAGAGAAAGGATGCAAAGCAGGAAGCACCCCCACCTACCACAGAGCCAGCCATCTCCCAAGTCATGCTTACTGCTATCACCTGCAGGAGCTCCAGCCCCTCCCTTTCCTAACTGCCTCCTGGGTTCTCACCTTTAAACCAGGCTCCAGGCTTGAAAAGGGCCTTCTTGAGTGCCATGTAGAGGTGGAAATTGAGTCGTTTGTATTCAGCAATATCATCTCGTACCCGGGGGAGCAGGACAAGGTTGTAGAAGCGCTGGGCCATGCGTTCCTTCAGGTTAGATGCGAAAATCCTAGTTTTTTTGGGGGGTGTGGGGGGTGGGGGAGCAAGGACATCCCAGGTCACTTGACAGCCTGGAGCTGGCCCTTTAAATATCACTGTGGATGGTGCATGCAAAAGATCTGAGGGGTGTGTGAACTATGTGCATGCAACACCCAAATCAGATAGGAGGGAACAGGAGGTCTACAAGATGCACCCAAACAGGTGAACACCGAGAGCCAGAGTGCTCCCAAACCAATGGCAACTCAGCTATTCACCTTCCTCTCCCCATCCTGGGCCTTCTCTACACTACTCTTTGAGGGACCTGAGCACGTGTGGGGAGCCACAGACTTCTGAGGCCTGTCTGACACCCCAGGGTGGTAACCCAGTAGTTATAAGCCTCTTCCCTAAAAACTTATCACAGGTGATTTTCAACAGGGTCTTGGTCCCAAAACATGAAACAGGAAAAGCTGGGAAAATGATGATATAAAGAAGCACAAGAGAGAGCTCTGGGGCAAAGTTAAAATGTAATGCAGCCCTGGCTGGTGTGGTTCAGTTGATTGGGCGTCATCCCATGCACCAAAGGGCTGCTGGTTCTATTCCCAGTCAGGGTGTATGCCCTGGTTGTGGGCTCGATCCCCAGTCTGGGGGGGCCTGTGGGAGGCAGCCAATGTTTCTGTCTCCCTCTCCCTTTCTCTCTCAATAAAAAATATTTTTTAAAAAATGTAATGGCAGCCCTAGCCGGCTTGGCTTAGTGGATGGAGCATCAGCCTGCAGA